AATTTTCAGCTTTTAATATTTCAAGTAGTAATCATCACATTTCAATGAAATTTGGTACATAGATGTCATAGGACACTGCACAGACCTGATAGTTTTTAGGGTAATATCAGTATATATTAATTAACTAATTTGCATAATTAATTAATTTTCAGCTTTTGATATTTCAAGTAGTAATCATCACATTTCAATGAAATTTGGTACATAGATGTCATAGGACACTGCACAGACCTGATAGTTTTTATGGTAATATCAGTATATATTAATTAGCTAATTTGCATAATTAATTAATTTTCAGTTTTGATATTTCAAGTAGTAATCATCACATTTCAATGACACTTGGTACATAGATGTCATAGGACACTGCACAGACCTCATAGTTTTTAGGGTAATATGAGTACATATTAATTACCTAATTTGCATAATTAATTAATTTTCAGCTTTTGATATTTCAAGTAGTAATCATCATATTTCAATAAAACTTGGTACATAGATGTCATAGGACACTGCACAAACCTAATAGTTTTTAGGGTAATATGAGTACATATTAATTACCTAATTTGCATAATTAATTAATTTTCAGCTTTTGATATATCAAGTAGTAATCATCATATTTCAATGAGACTTGCTACATAGATCTTCTAGGATTGTGCAGACACCTGATTAGTTTTAATTGGATATTAATTACCTAATTTGCATAATGTTCCACTGATATATAAAGAACCACAAATTGAATTTTAATGAAACTTTTAAAGAGAACTATGCAGAAACCCAATTAATTTTTGGTAAATATTTATGCTTATTAATCACCTAATTAACATAATTAATTAACACTGATATCTCAATTACTGATCATCACATTTGAATACAATTTGGTACATAAATGCTCTAGGACAATAGACAGGCCTGATTAATTTTGATTAATATTAATTCTCTAATTAGCATAATAATTCATAATTCTGTTCTGTTCATATTAGTTACCTGATTTACATAATTAGTTTTCAGCTTTTTCATCAATATCTCATGTACAAGTAATTTTGAATTAATTTTTAATGTGTCTTCAATACGGGAGTTCTTTCTAAGCTTTCTTTGATCAACTTTGTTACAATAAGAACATAACCTGTCTTCCATTGGTGCTTTTGGTTTAGTGTAACAACCTTTTTCAATGGCAAGTTGAATCTGAATTGAGCTATTGTTCTGACATGTTGTTCTTCACTTTTAAGTATTAGAATGCCTGTATAACTGTGCTCATGTGGACTGTAGACCTGACTAAGAGAAGCAAATTCATTTCACACTCTACGTCAAGGTGCCATATCGCTTGTCTCGGTTTCATATATTGTTGCTGTCTTGATCGAACATTAACTTTTTATTCTGCACTCTGCATTTCCATTGACGTATTGACTATAGAGGGCAGCCTTTCTTTTGTTCCCACTTTGTAACTGACAACCATGACTGCATGGCACTTTTTCAATCTAAAACAAATATTTGTCACATTATTAATTATTATTTCTTGTATTCTATGATTTGTTTCAGTTTCACTTGGTTTCTTCGATGATATCGTTATTCCTCCAGATGCTTTGCAGCAACCTTCCAAATTGTATCCTTTGATAATCACACATTTGTAAAGTATGACAAGCCATATTATTTTCACTTTTAACTGCGACGCTTAAGGAGGTAGGATTGGATTGAGACAAATAAAGTCACCGACAAAACGTCTGGAAAAAGAGATTTAAATAGTGAGTTCTCTGTCTGTTGAAGTTGCACTCTGAGAGCATTCAGGAGGCTTTATTTCGTGGGCATTTCTGGGGTAACAAACAAGGAATCATCAGGATTTGAATTACTGAAGCCTGAAGTAATTCAGAACAAAATGAAATCTTTGTGAATCCATACATTTTGGATCCCTTTTTAAAATCAAATGTTAAACCAAATCTTTGCATATTAATTGAAGCTGCTTTGCATATTAATTGAAGCTGCTTTGCATATTAATTGAAGCTGCTTTGCATATTAATTGAAGCTGCTTTGCATATTAATTGAAGCTGCTTTGCATATTTATTGAAGTTGCTGATATTAAATTATTTACATCATACGTCATCTTGTTTAAGTTTTAATTAGTTTCTTCGATACAGTCTACCACTTTTTCTTGGAATAACAGTCCTTATAGATCAGATACTTTTATATTTATGTGAAAAGTAGAAAATCTAATAGCTATGTATACATTTTATCATTGATCTGTCTGCTTTTATGAAATACATTTGAATTTTTTGTGGCCAAATAAGAAACATTTTATTGCATTTTTACATCAATATCGTCACTATTGAAAATGTCATCTCTCTATGCATCTCTTTACGCTAATTACGCTAATCTTCAATAAACAGTTTCAGTTTTGAGTTTATAGCTGCTTGGTCCCAAACATATCCATTTAGGCACTCCAAAATTGAATTTCAAAGATTATCTTGTATAGTAACATTGAAAAAATAATATGAAATTGAATGAACTGTGATATCTCAGCTGCCCTTGTCTGTTTCTCTGCTTCGCTACAGAAAAATAGACTCATTTGCTTTGAATTTGTATGTGGCATTTTTAATGGGTAAATTATATATTCATGTCATTCATATGCTCGCATTTGCATAACTTACCAGAAGTAAACAAAATCTCAATCAGCTTGATCGCCTATAGTGTCTCACAAATCAGGAAGTTATTGTCTGCATAAAATCAAAGTTGATCAATACAAACAGCACTGTATTTTGTAGCGTGACTACTATTGTGACTTCATTTTGCTGGTACAAAACAGCAACATTTTTCATGTTTGAATACTCCTGTTTCTGGTTTTTATTGTTGAAATCTGTGCTAACTGATTGCATTTAACATCGCGGAAATTCACTTCCGCAGTGCGTTAAAAAATTCCATCGTCAATAATTTGGAAACTTCATCAGTATGACACAGTATTTTGATTGGGTAACGAAAGACTTGACCTGTTAGGTCAAAGTACGTTGTTTCAGGTCAAATTACTTTGCATAAAGAGTTTGCCGCAACGAAAATAATGATAAAGATCTTGCCTTTGACTGTTTTCCCACAGACCCTACCCATTTTTACACCATAAATACAGATGGCATGTTAATCGTATTGTAATAAAATGTGTGTATTTTTATGAACATGTTTGTTTCTTCATTGTAAAAGTGTCGTGGAAATCTAGACTAGGACGACTTGTTTTCTTTTTTTTCATCAAACAGACGTAATAATTTCCCAACCATAGCATGGTGAACGAAAGATGTAATTTGGATAATTTTTCGTGGGTATTAAGATGATTACAATTGTCACCCCCCCCCCCCAAAACCATTATTTCTGAGGAGGTCCTTGAGTATAAGCCCACCCCTTAATTTTCCTGATTTTACATGTTCAGGCCTCTGAGCTATGATTGGGGAAGTATTGTACTTTTATCTATCGATAATGCGAGTGAGAACAGTTCAAAGTTATTTCAAAATGCTAAATTAGCAATGGTGGCTTTTATGCACTGCGCGATCTACACTTAAACAGTGGACTAATATCAATGACATGTATATATCTTTGACATTACAATCAGTGATGAAGCAGAACAAGTGTGGGTCTGGGAATACGAAACCGACGAAGGTACGCATGATTTATTTATGGATATCAATGAAAAAATCCGTTTCCGAGTTGTTGACGAAACATTCGTTGATACCACACCCATTGGTCCTAGAACTATTGTAGAGGTATCAGAGGTCACTGAGACAGACGTAAAAAGATCTCCGTATGTACTCACAGTAAGTAGTTTTTGTTTTCTTAATAATCAATTTTTTTTAGTACTAGTCATTTAAATATGGTGTAGTTTTAATATGATTGTTACCCTTCTGAGCACCCAACCTTCTTAGCATCCATTCACTATTTTCACCATTATTTATCCCCATTAGTACCATGTAAAAGTGTTTCACCATTCACAAAATTAACCTACAGCATTTATTTATAATTTTTTCTAAAATTCTGTTCAGGGTCTGTTAGAATATTTGATTCATCTTGTCCAAAACTCTTTTTTAAAAAGGTGCAAGATATATTGCACCAACTTTTGGCAAGAAAATATAGTGTTGAATGTGTTAAAAAAATTAGAAATATTTTTTTACTGTACCTTATCATTTTTGCTGACTCGCATATTTAATATGCTAATTTGGTCATTTAGGTTGATTCTTGGTTCTACAAGTTGTCTTCTTTCTATTCAGTTCAGTATACATACATATTTGAAAATTTAAACATTTCAGAATGGCAGATCATAAATATGATGATGACTATGTAAAGATTTCTTTACTTTTGTTAAAATGTAAATGCCACTTATATACATAGCTGTACATGTACGACTTAAAACATATTTTTGATCTTGTGGTTGTGGTTTATGGTTCTCTTATATTGATGAAGTATGTTTATCGTGATCACAGGAAATGTTGAGATATGTGCATAGAGGTCTTTTGTGCCCCATTCACATATGATAAATGTACACATTGCCACTTTGTTTCCAGGAATACCCACAACTGAAATGATCAATCTTGAGTGACAGGTCATTGACCTATTTGTTTTTATTAAATGTGTTCTACCAGTTTGTTTAAAAAATCATTTGTTAAATTTTACACAATTTCCCCTAGAGGAAACAGATTATTTTTTTTTCATTTTGTGCAGGCAAACAAATTAAGGCTTCAAGATGAAAAAGCTCCATAACTGTAGGAGAATGCAGTTTTTAGCCCCGCTGTCGATTTCATATTACTGATATTCTCCACGTCAACTTTTTCCACTTCTTCTAAAAAACCACAGGTCTGATTGCTTTGATATTATACATATATGTTCTACATGTTGATCTCTCTCAGATTTGTTCAATTTGTGATGATATCTTCAATTATCTAAATTTGATGAATACTTTTGTCATTTTTGAAAAAAAGTGATATTTTAGACTACTTGTTCAAAAACTGCAAGTCCGATTGCTTTGATATTATACATATAGGTACCTCAGGTGGATCTCTCTCAGAGTTTTTCATTTCGTCATGATATCTCCAATTCTCCACCGGTAATTGAAATGTGCAATGCTAACAGCAGAGCTCTCAGCCGTGAGGCTGATTGTTTTTTATATTATCATTCTCTAGATATTCAACTTTCCATTAGTATTATGTCGTCTACTATCTAAATTTCCTGCCAAAGGATTATGGGTAATGTAGGACATGAAAACCACTCTTGTGAAAAATTGAGAAAATGATATCGATTTCATCTATTAAACTTCAAAAGTAGGACTTCAGATTAGTAGCATATATATGTATCAGTGCCAACCATGTATATAAAGCAGTCATGGCAAAAGAATTCAATTCTTTGTATATATTATACAATTTATCAAAACCGGAAATAAGGAACAAAAAGTGTCATTCTATTTTCAATGACAAAAAAAGCAATTATAATTTGTTTAAGCAATATCTCTTGGTGTATTTGGAACATTACATTACATCTGTATTTTCATTATTACAATTATATATACAAGTAATATGCACACTGAAAAGAGTGGCTATGATGTCATACTTTACCCACAATCCTTTGCAAGAAAACCAAGATCTAGAGAATAAAAAGTGATAGTAAAAAAATGTAAATTGCAAGCAGCTACATCATCTGGGAGCATTATGTTGTTTGCAGGGACTTCCCCTTTAAAAAAATATTTTATGAAAATGTGGTGTACATAAACAACTACTGCACCCAATCCTGCAATCAAACATACAGATAACCAAATTTTGCTACAAATAAATTAATTCTACACTGTCTGTTAATTTTGTCATACTATAGGGCGTCAATTTGTCATTAATTTTGTTGTCAAGAAGTTTTAGTATAAATGTACCTGGCATAAACTCTATGATGTTCAGTTTGAGGGCGCTATATGCTAGGATGAAGAGTCATTGTATTAATAAAAACTATACCTGGAAATTAGGAATTCCTGAATTGGTGGACGTACAAAATATATACATTATATTCATTGTTGAACGTATTGTACCTAGTTGGCACTGGAAGGTCATAAACAATGTAATAACACAAGAAATATATATGGAGACTATATGGGTGTGAAACCCATGTGTGTATTCTCACTAAATCTATGGAAGGTGTCACCTTTGGAATGTGACTTGCCAGGCATGCAACCTGATCAAATAGACATGTATTTATACATTAGTGAAGGCCACTGATTTGATGGTACTTATGGGCGGGTACATATGACATGTCTGTGGTTTATTATTATAATCAATTGTTTATTTTGAGAGAATTCTTTATAGCTCAATAGATCATTATTTTGATCTATATTTGCTACATTACATTTCTACATTAAAAGTAGTAAATAAATAAACTCTGCTCTGACCGATTTTTAATATTTACTTAGAACAACGATTACCAAATATTATCGTGGTTATCATTTTGTTTGTTTAATATTTGGTTGAATTTACATATGCATATGTTGCACGCTTTTGTGCAGGATAAATGTTTTTAGTCGTATAATTCGGTCTCCGTGCATCTATGCGTCAGAATCCTTTCGACCGATTCTGTTCATTCTTTGCATGTGCCTAGTACTTTATGTGGGACATATGCACATGCAGTGGTTTAGCGATTCGATTCACAATGGCCGACTGGCACCATCTTGTTTTTTTTAAATGTTGTATTTTGGACATGCTTTGTCAGTTTTCATTCAAATTTGGTACATAGATTATACATGTTAGTATACATGTCCATGACAATTTCTTTCTCAATTGGATCAAAGATGGCCGAATGGCAGCAGTCTTGTTTTTTTAAATGTGGTATCTTGGACATGCTTTTTCAGTTTTTATTCAAATTTGGCACATACTTTATACATGTCCATGACAATTTGTTTCAAAATCAGATCAAGGATGGCTGATTGACAGCCATCTGAATTTTTGGCCTTACTACTATATTTCTAAGATTTATGTACCATTTTCATAATCAGATCAAAGATGCACGAATAATACTATATCTCTGTCACCCATGTATCATTCTCATTGATATTTAGTATGTCATAAATGGATACATGTACATGTCAATTCAATTTGCAATTTGATCAAATATGACCGACTGGCGGCCATCTTGTTTGTTTAAAATGTGATAACTTGGACATGCTTTCACTTGTGATTTTTTTTCTTTGCTATGTCTTAAATTGGAGGGGTCGTCACGTAACACGTGTTCGAATTTGATGTAAATAAACAATCTGTTGTATACACGACTTGGGACTCAAGTTTCAAGGACACACTCTGACAACCTCTCCACTTTAATATGACGAAAACTTTCAAAAATTTAACGGGAACTGTGTCATTTTCAATGACTTGTTATAATTTATTTTAAATGTGTCCCTTGTATGTGTGTATGAACTGGTCTATGTATCGTAACAGTCATTATGAGTCAGATTTTCCATAAGCATCGAAACATGTAACTATGGCAACATGTACATTTTCAAATGTTATATTGGACATTTTGTAGTATTCTGTAGGGCATCGATTTTGTCCATTATGCATGTATTTCTGTTAAACCAGATCTTCGTCATTTATTGTTGGATTTCATTAAAACATGGTACTTACACTGGACATAATAAGACATTGATGCAAATCACTTTTTTTTTAAGATCAGATTTGAAATGACTCTTTTGTGAAAACTGCACTGGAGCCATATCTTTGACTTTTCTAGGTCAATCTTTTTTTTTTGTGTAAATAGCATTCATTTTTAAAGCTAACAGATTATACATAAATAAAAAAAGCTATACATAAATCACTGATCACTCAGTTGTCTTGTATAAGAAACTCGTGACTCAAGCAGATAAATGGAAATACAGTGTAAATAGTCGCCCACAAAAAACTACAAAGACTTATTCATTTTCTCTATTTGGACATTCTTTCTCCCTTAAAACGTTCTCATTTATCAGTGTCATAATACAAAAAGTATTTATATTATTATTGTTCTACACATTATGAAGAAACTACCATAAAACTATATTAATTTGCAGTCTCTAATAATTCATGCACCCAACCCAACATCTCCAGTGATTTCAAACAGAAACATGAAATGCAATTTCTTTTTAATTGTGATATAAACATAACTACAAGCATGTTGCAAGAACAGTGCTTTAAAATTGAAATGCATGTAGATTGTAACATTTCCTCAGTCATCTTTGATATAATTGGAAGACATCGCTCTCAGCTTGAATGTCTTTGGGCCATGTTTTCAATGCTGTGAGTGACCTTGTGTGTGAATTTGATTGGATAATTGCGCGATCAAATGTTAGATCGACAAGGCTCTCCATTGTGTAAATCTGATTTCTGATTCCACCTTAATTATCCTAAACATTCTATACTTTTTGGTGAAAACAGGAGTATTTTTTGATTGCCCATCATGTAACTTGGATGTCACAGCATTATTATTTTTTTTCAATTTGTGTACTTTTTACAAGGCTTCATCGTAACAACACTAACTTTGCGTGAGTGAAATTTTAGCTTAACCTATTGATGCTCAGATCATGGAATATCTGTCTGTATCTATTTTCATTCAAATAAAAATGAATCACTATTTACTGAATTAACCAAAAAATATTTTTATTTCATGCACTAGAAAGAAATTTGTATCCTATTTATTCATGCTCCTGAAAAAACAATTATTTTTGCTACTGTGAATTAATGGTTTATTGCGATGTATATTGCCTAACAATATCTGATTCATGAACACAAAAAAGCAATAAATAAATAAAAAATGTCAATAGAAATGCAAAAAGGCAAATATAATCAACAATTATTTTTAAAATGTTCAACAATAAATACAGATGTAAAAGGTACGGCTAAACATTGCAACTGATCGCTATCTGAAGTGTTAAGTTGCGATGATATCTCTCTGTAAATTCTGTATGTAATGCATGTACTCTGGCTCTCTGACTCAAATATTGATCTCAGGCATACTAATGGAAACAAAAATAGATTTCACTCTGTCTGTATTCATAACAAAATCAACGCATTGATACATGTCTATGGCTGTTTCTCTCGCACATTACCTACCGCTGTTTCTCTCACGCAGTATATTTTAAATTTCCATCTCATTTTGACTTTTAAAAAAATCTGGTAACTCTGAATTTATTGACGTAAACTATGATAAATGCAAGAAATAGCATTGCTATGCACATATAGAGGGCGCAAGTTTACTTTTGCACTGTCCTCTTTCCTCACTACCTGTGGTAGACTGGCGCAGTCGGGGCGATTAATTTGTTTTTGTAGTTTAAATAAAAAAAAA